ATTTCACTCAGAAATTCCGTGATACGATGCGGGATGTTTTGCATGCGCTTTAATTCCCAAAAGAAAAAAAAAAGGATAAGGAAAAGGAAGAACAATTACATCGTAACAAATTGGTTGGTGTACTACTTGCTCGAGTTTAAGTCTGTCCTCTTTAAAAAATTCTTGATAGCTAAAAACTATTCAGCGAAGTGGAAGTAGGTAGTGGTAGATTTTTATCACACCGCTGATGATATTGACCAATGATGCTGATGCGAGTAGTTGTTTTGTTGTATACTAACACAGTGAATTAAAAACTAACTATTCAAACTAAATTATTCCAGCATCGATTACAATGCTTTCGGGCGCAAATATCCCAGCGGTGAAAAACTGAGAATATTCGGAGTTTGACAAGGTAATCAGAGCGCCCCTTCAGCATTCTCTACTGTGTCAGTATATACCTCTCACGAGTTCTGAAAACTATCAGAATTCTTTTTTTTTTTTTTTAATCTAAGGTCGATAGTGGAACGAGACCTTCAGAGTGAGCTAGCGTGATTCTGTGAAACAATAATATACCATAAGTGAATTAGACTTGAAATAGATACAAAATACTCTAAATTACAGTAGCTCTGAAAATAATTGGACAAAAGAAACAATAGTAGGCAAGAGGGAAATGTTCTCATCGACAATTCTTTTCCAAATTTCAGAGATGTTTTGCCTTCTTTCTTGTTTTCTTTTTTTTAAAGCGTTAACACTTGGATTAGGAAAAGTCACTTGGAAAATGCATCGGTTTAGAAAAATTCGTCTCCCTAAATGTTAATTTTTCTGCATAAAATGAGCCGCCTTAGCAATAGACCTTTTTAGTTGTCACGAAATTTAAAATGGTTACACAAGAATTCGAAATGGAAAGAAAAGTGAACGCTATGATATAAAACAGAATATGAAAGTGACCTCAAACAAAAACTTTTTTAACAAAAACTTCCCCTAATCCCGTTGTGAACTAATTTACTTTGGTGTTTATTTCCACAAACTTAAGTTTATAACTTAAACAAGCCTAAACATGAAACTTGAAAAAAGGAAACAAAACCCTTGGTTAATTTCCGAAGCAAATCCAGGACCGAAAAGGCACAAAACTTGTCTGATAATAAATAATATACAGTCTTGAGCGTGACAAAGTGTCGTGGTTTACCCAACCTTCAATGATTTGCGAAGCTGGAATATGTTTTTTCCCTTGCACTGCGTGAAATGAGTAATTTCGTGGAATTTTTGGAGCCGTGATATTTCACGACTGACCCGACGAGTCGCAGATCGGAACGCAACGTGTCGGGAAACTTGGCGTGTCGGAGAGTGTCATGTTCCTGACACCCGTGACACGGCGTGTCATGACAAGTCACGCCCTGTGTACGTTAATCGCCAAAGAATATCAAGGGTCTGATACTTAAAGGCACGGATGTATTTTGTCGTAGAATAAATGTATTTTGTGTACCTTTGTCCTAGCACGTTACTTGGAAACCACAAACGCTTGTGCTCTTTTGTCCCTTCAGAATTTTATAGTTAAAAATGCGTGGAGAACATATGGCCGACTGTTCAGTTGTACATCTCTAGCGATCTCTCACTATCAGTTCATTATCCTTCGGTAATTCGTGTCGTCAGTCGTGGGTCTCAAAGCCTTCTTCCATTCTCAAGTACCAAGGTTTTTTAAAAAGTTTACGTTCTGGAGATCATCAATTTACGCACATACATCTTCACCTTCCTTTGCTTATCCGGGCTTTCGCGTTCGCTTGAATGTATTTTTTTCAGTATCTTCTCGCACCTTCACCTATCGCTTAAGGCGGGGTACCTGTTCGCGCCTATACTGTTGCGCCTTCGCATTCAGTGTTTAAACTAAAGTTAAGTATACCTTCTGTTTTTAATTTCATGTAAAAGGAAACTTTGTGCCAGTCGATCCGATTTGGTAATTCTAAACTTATTAGGGTTTTTTTCAGTCTTTCCAATTTTTTTAACGTTTTGAACATTAAAGTTGGAAAATAATTTGCAACAGTTGCTTTGCTGATGGCAATCTTATCCTTCACGGCATATGATATATGACAACATATTTTCTTCAGCTCAACTAATAGGTAATGCCATGTACTGTTGGGAAATACTTCGATAAATTTGTTGTTGTTGTTATTGTTGTTGCATAAAATTGCAATTTGGCCAACAGTCAGCCACTGGATTGTAATACATGTAACATTTAAAAACTGATAAAAAATGATATGAAACACTGACAGCAATATTTTGGGTTTCCCTTAAAGAACCATACTATGTCGGAAAAGTGACGTCAGCCGTGTAACCTCGCAACGCAAAACCAAGGGTGGTCTTTAGGATTGTGGTTTTGAAAAAAGATATAGGCTAAGATCGACGCGATACGAAGCGTGTAACGACTAGAATAAAGATAGGAAAAGAAAACTACGCGAGTGACTAGTGTTGCTATACTGGGATTTCCAACACTAACTGGCACCTCCGACGGGACTGAGATCGAGACATGGAACTGGAGGCACTTCAGAAGAATTTGGACGCAAAACTCAAGCTTTTGGCGTACAAGCAAGAAAAGGGAAAGGGCATTGTGGACAAGGCAAACGCGACAACTATTGGGAGACACCGTGACGGGTTGGTGTGTTTAGCAAAAGAAGCGGACGAGGTCAAATTAAAGATCGAAGAGAAGAAGATTGCAAAGGGTGAGCAAATGGACGAGGTATGTGCATGGAGCAATGAAATAGACAAAGTTATTGAGGGTGTAGACGCGGAGATCGAATACCTTGGGAAGTGTTTGGGGGAGGTGAAGGAAAAATCGCAAATGGCCGAAAAAGAAAGCGAGAAAGCGACAATCGCGAAGGAGAGAGAGGAGCAACTCGCGTTTGAAAAAGCACAATGGGAAATGAAGCTTGATTACGAAAAAAAATCAGAAGAATTAGGTAGCAAAAAAGGGAAAGGGTTATCAGGCGATACCGGAATGCACGCAAAGTTGCCAAAGCTATCAATAACGAAGTTTGATGGGTCCTTCGAACAATGGCTCTCTTTTTGGAATAAATTTTCCGCGGAAATAGACGCGACGGATCTGTCAGCAGTGACAAAGTTCGCTTATCTAAAGGAACTCCTTGTTACAAAGGTACGAGCGGACATAGATGGACTCCCGTTCAATCTTGAGGGGTACGAAAGGGCGAAGGCCATCCTAAAATCGGAGTACGGGAAAACGTCAGAAATTGTAAATGCATATGTAAACAACATCATGGGTTTGCCTACCATCACAAGCGCCAGTCCAAAAGAAATTAATGAGTTTTACAAAAGGCTTCTGTTCAATGTACAAAGCTTAGAGACGCTCGGGAAGTTACGTGAAGTCTCCGGAAATGTGAGGGCGGTGTTAGACAAACTGAAAGGAATAAAGGGAGACTTAGTCCGGGGACACGAAGATTGGCGAGACTGGGATTTCGCTAAACTGATTCAGGCAATTAAAGGTTGGAGAGACATAAATTCAGAAGGAGAAGAAAGCGATGGTGGGAGTGTGTCCAAGAGGAAGAATGATCGCAACGACTGGAATGCCCGTGTTCCGCCGCCACGCGGAAGGTCTTATCAGGTCCAACAACAAGCAAATGGAGGACAGATGCGCGGATGCGTCTATTGCGATGACACGAACCACACATCCGCTAATTGCACCAAAGTTGTCGCGGTCGGAGACCGCAAACGAATTTTGAGCCAAAAACAGTTGTGTTTTAATTGTACAAGTGACAAACACAGAGCAGACAGCTGTAGAAGCCGCGGGTGTCATAACTGTCAACGCCGACATCACACGTCAATATGTGATCGCCCACCAAGCGGTCACACAACGAGGGGAAGATTTATGACGGCACAAAACAAAGGAACAGAGAGAGTCGTGTATCCCGTTGTTGTCGTGGAAGTAAATGGAATCAAATGCCGCGCACTCCTAGACACTGGGGCAGGCAGCTCATACGCGTCGTCAGCTATCCTTGAACACCTGGGAAACAAACCGCTACGAGAAGAATTCAAGCGCATAGAGATGATGCTTGGGTCAACAAACAAGGTCATCGGAGTTCATAGCGTGACGATTGGCAGCCTTGATGGAAAATTTCGATTGGAAACGGAAGTCACCAGAGTGGACCGTAGTACATTGCTATCACTTGACAACCCAGGATATGCTGGGATACTGGAGAAATATCCCTACTTGGATGGGGTATACATGGACGACAGAGACGAGAAGCCTGAGCTACCAGTCCACATTATCCTGGGTGCGAGCGAGTACGCGAAAATAAAGACAGAAACCATACCAAAGATCGGACGTCCCGGCGAACCTGTTGCAGAGCTAACAAAGTTCGGATGGACAATTATGTCACCAGGTAAAGAAGTTGACCTCTCTAATATGTTCTTGACCCAGACGACAGCGGCAGATTACGAACAACTATGCAAATTAGATGTTCTAGGATTGCGTGACACACCAGGCGGAGATCAAGCAGATGTTTATGAAGAATTCAAGGAACAATTAACACGAGGGCCAGAGGGATGGTACGAGACGGGGCTACCCTGGAGGGGAAACCACCCTCCACTGCCCAACCACAGAGCGGGAAGCTTGAAGCGATTGGAAAGTACCATTCGGAAACTGGAGAAGAACGGAATACTCCAGAAGTATGACGCCATAATTAAAGACCAGCTTAACGAAGGAATAGTGGAGCGAGTGTCAGGCCCACCAGTGGGAAAGGAGTTCTATATTCCACATAAAGCAGTGGTGAGAGAAGCTGCAGAGAGTACCAAACTTCGAATCGTGTACGACGCCTCTGCCCGAGCTTCAGAGAAGGCTCCTTCTCTCAACGAGTGCCTTCACGCGGGACCTCCGTTGCAGAACAAGCTTTGGGCTGTTCTTGTCCGTGCACGTTTCCACCCAGTCGCGTTAACAGGTGATATCAAGCAAGCGTTCTTACAAGTACGAATACGGGAAGAAGACAGGGATGCCATGAGATTCCACTGGATCACGGACTTGCAATCCAGGCGAGTGGAAACACTGAGATTCACGAGAGCTCTGTTTGGTTTGGCCCCATCGCCCTTTCTTCTTGGGGGAGTTATCAAACAACACCTGGAAGCCTGTCGTACCGAGAATCCGGACCTGGTGAGGGAAATAGAGAAGAGTCTATACGTCGATGACCTTATCAGCGGGGGACCCACCGTAAAAGCTGCCCTTGAAGTCAAAGCAGGCGTTACCCATGTCTTTAACCAAGCCTCATTCAAGCTGCACAAGTGGCATTCAAATGTTCCGGCAGTGGAGTCCCCTGGTGATCCTCTTAGCGAAGATACTACATTCGCGAAAGAACAGTTGGGTGCACCTCAAGAAGGAGGGGGATCTATTCTCGGGCTTCCATGGAACAAGCGACAAGATACCATTGAAATAAATTTCCCAACTGACCGCACCCAAGTGACAAAGAGAGGGATACTAGCGAAGATAGCAAGAGTGTATGACCCGTTAGGGCTCGCAGCGCCTATGACATTGAGTGGAAAACTACTGTACCGAGACGCATGTGATTTGAAAGTCGGATGGGATGCTCAACTTCCTGGTCAACTGGGAACCAAGTGGTCAAGATGGGAAGCACAGCTACCAGTGAGCATTTCCGTACCCAGAGCCATACCTCAACACTTTGAAGAGATCAGCAACATTGAGCTACATTGTTTCGGCGACGCAAGCGGACAAGGCGTTTCTGCGGCAGTGTACGGTGTCATATCTCAACCATCCGGTGATAGTGTTGGGCTGATAGCAGCCAAAGCTAGACTGGCGAAGCAAGGCCTCACCATCCCCCGCCTCGAGTTGGTCTCCGGTCACATGGCGACCAATCTCATTGTGAACGTTAAGGAAGCATTAGAGGGTTTCCCAGTTGGAAATATGGTTTGCTGGTTGGACAGCAGCGTTGCGTTACATTGGATCAAGGGAGCAGGGAGTTACAAGCAGTTCGTAAGCAATCGAGTGCAGAAAATCCAGCAACACCCAGAAGTAAACTGGCGTCATGTGGGTACAAAGGACAACCCAGCTGACCTTGGCAGTCGGAGCGGAAGCGTGGAAAATGAAGAGCTATGGTGGAGAGGGCCTGAGTGGCTACTAGACCGAGAGCGATGGCCAGCCGATATTAAGACAACGGCCACACCAGACAGTCAGGCGGAAGCAAAAGTGATACGGGACGTATTCGCTGTAGCACAAGCTAAGACAGACATCCTAGACGCCTTGCTGATCAAGTTCAACTTATGGAAAACCCTAAGGGTTTGTGCGTGGGTGACTCGATTCATACATAACCTACGGAGCGAAAAGACGAGAAGATCTAAGGGACCACTCACGACAGAGGAGATCGAGATGCAGCGACACCTGTGGCTAAAGCGAACACAGGTGAAATTCAAGAGAGACGAGCGGTTCGAAGATCATCGTGTTCAGCTGAACCTACAAGAAAACGCAGACGGGTTACTGGAATGCCGAGGGCGGATTCAGGGAGACTATCCCATTTACTTGCCTGAGTCTCATCCGTTCACGGAGAAGATGGTGGCAGACGCACATATCAGGACACTCCACGGGGGAGTGAGCCTCACAATGGCAAAGATTCGTGAAAGGTACTGGGTTCCCAGGTTGCGTCGCCCTGCAAAAAGAGTCGTTAAAGCTTGTAACGGCTGCAAGCGGTTCCGCGCCACAGCGTTTGCGGTTCCGCCACCAGGACAGCTACCAAGGGATCGTACCGAAGGAGAAAATGCGTTCCAAGTAGTCGGAGTGGATTTCGCCGGACCACTGAAGTATAGAAAGGGGAGGAATCATGAAGGCAAAGCTTACATAACGCTTTACGCCTGTAGCCTGACCAGAGGTATTTACCTTGAGCTACTACCCAGCCTAGAAACGGGAGAATTCCTTCGATGCCTGAAACGGTTTATCGCCCGACGTGGGCGGCCAGAAAAGATTTACTCAGACAACGGGAGTACCTTCGTGGCAGCAGCTAAGTGGCTGAAACAAGTGATGACTGACGAACGCCTCAACGAATTCCTCTCCCGTCAAGAAATCAAGTGGCAATTCAACCTGAGCAGAGCGCCCTGGTGGGGAGGGCAGTTCGAGAGAATGGTTGGATTGGTGAAGAGAAGTCTACAGAAGACCATTGGAAACGGGTTCCTAACGTGGACCGAGTTAGAGGAGGTTATACTAGACGTAGAGGTTGCAGTCAACAACCGACCTTTAAGTTACGTGGAGGACGATGTGCAGCTACCGATCTTGACCCCCCACTCCTTGTTGTTTGGTCAACCAAATGCACTACTCGAGTTGGAACCGCACTGCATAGAAGACGGTGAATTACGCAAGCGAGCAAAGTATCTCAGACGATGCAAGGAGGCCGTCTGGAAGCGATGGACGGGGGAGTACTTAAAGGGGCTGCGCGAACGCCATCGTCTAAAGAATCCTGGAAAGCCCGAAAATCCTATTGTGGGCGAGGTCGTGCTGATCAAGTCGGACGACAAGAATCGCGGGAAATGGAAGGTCGGGATCGTCACGGAACTAATCAAAGGGCGTGACGGTGTTGTCCGGGGAGCAAAGTTGCGCACAGGGACCTCACATCTAGAGCGAGCAGTACAGCAGCTGTATCCGTTAGAACTGTCATGTGATCGACCGGGAGACGGCGACAGACCTCCAACGACCGAGTTGCGCATTGAAGCGCCAGCGTTCAGGCCTTCCCGTGATGCAGCCGTCGCAGCAAGATTACGTATGGAGGATCTTGCTCACGATGAGGAAGGGGTTGAACTTTGAACCAAACCGAAACAGATTGGATGACAACAGCGGATCGGATGCTTGAACATTCTACTTATGAACTGAACATCTGCCACTATGGCTACTGATTGATCAATGGTTAGTGTGATTAGGAAATCGATTGAAAATTCTAGATGATAGATTCGTTCATAAAATCTAAGCGATAAGGTTCATTTCTCGACAGACATTTGCTCTCCGAGACAAATGGGGGGAGGGTGTCGGAAAAGTGACGTCAGCCGTGTAACCTCGCAACGCAAAACCAAGGGTGGTCTTTAGGATTGTGGTTTTGAAAAAAGATATAGGCTAAGATCGACGCGATACGAAGCGTGTAACGACTAGAATAAAGATAGGAAAAGAAAACTACGCGAGTGACTAGTGTTGCTATACTGGGATTTCCAACACGCCCTATCTCACACAGTGTTGGTATTAGCCATACCCAGCTACCGAAACGTACTCGTAGTATTTACGAAAAGCTAAACGTAACGATCGGTACTCCTGTCTAATTCCCTGCTTTTAGTTTATCTAATCGAATATCCATCGCGGGGAATTATGATTTTCACAAGTCTCGTTATCATTGTGTTGATCGTTTTATAATGGTCGCAATAATGTATCACATCACATCCGACAAACTCTGTAGCCTCATGCAATGCACTATATGGCGACGAACGAAATTACGAATCTCGCCGCTACCGTCACACCGCCGATGACTTGTTAAACCGTTTGTATTTTTGAACGTAGCACTAGTGGTTATTATTGTTCGCCTAGTTATCACATTGTAAAAATATACCGATCGAGAAGTTGACATCCTCTAGGTGTAGTGTCAAACTTTTTTGTGAACGCACGAGGAGATAATATCGAGCGGTGAAGGCCGTCCAAACTAAGAAATCTGGGGGCATGCTCTTACAAAACATTTTTAAATCTAGGGTTTCGGAAATGCCATTTCCTGCGTTTTTTTTTTTTTTTGCAATTTAGGCAAATAAATTAAAATGATTTTGTTGGTGTTTTAGTTTCCCCACCTCCAGTATTATCGGTAAGTAAGGCACAATTTTACGGCTGGCTGCGGAAAATATTACATGCATTTGTACACCGGTATCATGCAGCTATGTGGCACCGTTCGAAAAGGCCACTTCTGGGCATGTTTAAAAACTAACTTCCCGTATGGAAACCCAGACTGGGCCGCAAACCAGTCGTAACACGAGGAAATTGTCCTTACTCTTCTCTGCCAACGTCTGTCTATTCCACACATTCTTAATTATTAGTTCATTATTTTTCCCTTTCATACTTCTTTTGGTATCTTAATTAACTACCCTACCCTCCACCCTCATGAAAACAAATAAACGTCCCCTGACTCATGAAGTGGTCTACACTTCATATCAGTTCGTATGGTAAAGCCTCATGTATTATAACAATAGGTGATTGGAAGATACAGAGGGAGTAGAGAGGAATTTTTAAAGTGTTCAGTGGACTGTTTTCAATGCTTCGAATAGAAAACCCTCAAAGTCATTTTGTTCTACAATATAGCTCGTTTTCTTATTGCAACTACAAAGGAGGCATTGCTTTATTGACGCTTACAGTCTGTTTACAAGCATTTTCTGTGTTTCTTGACCTTCCTTAACTGGTGTAACGTACTAAATGATGTGATTAAATGATTTTTTGTTAGGCGGTTGGACAACAATCAGTTGAAGGGATTACCATCAGACATTTTTAGCAAAAACACCTTGTTATCGCACTTGTAAGTTTATACTCTTCTTTATTTTTGCAAAAGACGCCTTAAATCCAAATCTACCGAACATACAATAATGCCTTATCTCCAAGTGACCTAGATGCCTTCTTTCCTCTAATGCTGATGCACAGTACCCTTGTTCCTACCTCCCCCTATGTGCCACTCCTCGTCTCCCGAAATGTTAATTTCTCTTTATAAAATGAGCAGCCCTAGTAATAGATCTTTTTAGCTGTGTGATCACGTAGTTTGCAGTAGGTAAACAAGGATTCGAAATGGCTGCTCAAGTACGTACCGCAGACGACATTTTATGGACGAAATTCCTTCTCCTCTTGCCGAAATTATTATATTCACGAAGAAAATAACCACTCTAATGACTGCGCTAATATAGAAATGGGCGACAATTGACGTAAAATCCTTTTTAATACAAAAGTTGAGATTGTTAAAAACAAACTTACGAGCATACGATCTTTAAAGTTTAAAAAAATACATGAGGCCGGCACAAAAGAGAGGCAAATATATTAAACAGAATCCAACCTTGAAAGTAGGCAGTTCAATGCGTGGGTGCTGTCGCATCTTATCCTAAGAAAGCGGCATTAACACTTGGACTTAGAAATGTCCTTTAAGACATGCATTGGTTTCGGAAAATTCGTTCCGTGATAGATTGTCCACAAAGAAAAAAAAAAGTAAACAAATTTGTTAAAGGAATCATTCGAGGATGGAATTTCCCCCTTAGACCCTTCCCTCTTTCTTAACTAGTCTAGTTATCAGGTTAAGAATATCCGTGCAATTCGGTGCTTAGGTCTGTGTTTCAGTTTTCTTCTGATTATTATCCTTTGAATGAAGGGATGAAAAAACAAAAAAAAAAAAAAAGAAATAGAAAAAAAGAAAAACAATCAGCCCAGTGACACCTGTTATTTGATTAAAACACGAGAGCCTAGTTTGAATAAGCAGTCAAAGCACTTGAACTGAGCGCAACAACTGAATGTGAGGTTTAGAAATGTGTCATGCACCTTTAATTTATCTCCAAGCGTCTATGAATCAGTATTACAGTATGCCATAAATTTACAAACTTGATTAATCCGAACAAATTGTTTGAGAGGCCAGGAGGGGGTACTAATCCCATCAACCAATCCTTCCTAAATCCAGATCCAATATTCGAGCGTCTCTGAATCATCTTACCTCAAGCTCAGTAGCAACAAAGTACCACTGGTAAAGACCTTAATATATGACTCACTGACTCCTACGAATTTGTAAAGTTTTTATAGAGATATCCGGGACTCTCTAACCGTAATTGAATTTAACTACTGCTGGCTATATTTCTAATAAAGTGGATACAGGGATACAAGCAACATGAGACCTGTGAGGAAGCCTCATTTCTTGAAAAATAATATTCCACGAGGGAACATATATCTGAAGCAGAACACGGAACTTCCTAAATTACTGTCGCGCTCGATAAGGTGCATTTGAACTAAACCAACGGCACCCAGAAATTTGTTAGCGATCATAAAATAGAAATCCTGATAATGATTTGTAATAGGAAACAAAACCGGCCATTGGGAGAACACTTTTCTCCCTGCTGATATCCATTACATTCAGCGCTTAAATTAAGGTTGTTTTCATTGTGTCCTTTTTCAAGCCTTTTGGGTGTAATATATTTTTCAAATTTGTTAGGGGCGGCAGGAATATTCAGTAGATGATAAGTGTGTACAGCATTGAATCAAAGAGATTGTTTCTTTTTAGAGAGATTTTGAGGTTATAAATGTAAAGAATGTAAAGAATGGTTTATGTTTAGAAAAGTGTAAGATGTATTATGAAATAGAATATGAAAGTAGCCTCATACAAAACTTTTAACAAAAACTTTTTTCTGAATTCCGTTATGAACGATTTTGCATTGGTGATTTTCCCCAACAAATTGAAGTTGACTACTTAAACAAGACTTTCACGTGAAATGAGAAGAAAGGAAACAAATGGCTTGGATAAAATCCAATGCAAATCCAGAACCGAAAGGCACAAAACCTGTCTGAAAGGAAAGAATACATAGTCGAGCGCGACAAAGGATCGTGGTTTGCCCAACTTTCAATGATTTGCGGAGCTAGAACATGTTTAATTTTTCCCTTGGTTTTAGCCTTACCCTACCATCGAAACGTACTGGAAGTATATTCGACTGACCAGTGAGATAATATAGCACAAAGAGATGATTTTAAGTGCCGCTCTCACTAAGAGCGGTCCTCTCGACTTCCCGTTAGAAAAAAGTTTTCTTTTATTTTTTTCCCATGAAAAGGGTTTAGGACGCATGTTTCAAGAATACTCTAGTTGTTCTCCAATTCTCTCTTTTTGCGTCGCCACAAGTCAAAAATGATTTTTGACCAGACCACCCCTGTGAACGGCGATCGAAAGTGTAAAATGTCAAAGATTTTGTCCAGCGCGCAGCGACTACAACAATGTAGCTCTGGGAACTCTATCTTGCTACAAGTTACAAGATGTATTCAGTTAGTTCACAGACAAAATATGGAAACTTCAGCTGAAATATTTTACATACCAGCGTGATCAGAGGAGACCCTTCTCTTCGACCTTAATTTGCATATTAAAAATTCACTACTTTGTACGAAAGAATTCTCAAAATACAGGCGTTAATCGGGCTTGAAAAACATATCAGTGCATTGTTTATACACCAATGAGGTCACGGATTGCCTTAAACCCGCGGGTAGATCTATAGCTTCCATCCACCAACTTCTTAAAAACAACGCAAATCCATGTGTTTGCTCAATTGCGCTCGTGTCAAAGATCATTTGCATGATTCTGAAAATTGACCAATATCTCCTTTTAACCGTTCAAACTTCGTTCGTTTATCTTCTACATTGAAGATTTTAGGTTAATAGCAACTGAATGGAGAATAGATGCCGAGTTGTCCTAAAACGTTGCGGAAACGTGATCGGTCGTAACGCTTGCAAATTTGACACGAAAATAATTCTGATGCCTCTTTGAAAAGAAACAATAGCTTGAACAGTAGATATCGCAAGATCTTTGGCCATGTTACAAAAGAATACTCAATGCACTAGAAGTGCACACATCGAGTTCTGAATGCAATTGAATAGTCTGTTTAACAAATGCAGACGTACAGTAATTTTAATCTTTACCAAATTATGTCATCGCAAAAAAAGTTCTAGGACCTGAGAGCATCTGAGTGACGGACCGTTAGATTTTTGATTAGGGGTACGAGGGGGGGCTGGGGGGTTGGGTAACAAGCCCCAAAAAAATCGATCACAGCCTTAAAGGA